GCCCTGAGTTTCTGTAGATTCTCCTGTCTTCAGCTCCCATCTCACCATCAGAATGCTGGGATTACAGATACACGTTCCCATCAGGCTCTATGTGGGTTCTGGGAATTCAAATTCAGGTTCTTACACTTTCATGGCAAGTTCTTTACCCATAGAGCCATCCCCCATACCCTGTGTCTGTATTTAAATATTGCCTGTCTAGTGTTTTCTTAATGGTCTGGTAATGCTGAGATAAGTCATAAGATTTACAATTCATTTTTTAATTTTTGGTCTTTTTGAGACAGGGTCTCCTTATAGCCCTAGCTGGCCTGAAACTTGCTATCTAGACCAGGCTGGCCTTGAACTCACAAAGATTCATCTGCCTCTGCCTCTGTCTTTGCCCCTGCCTCTGCCCCCCCACCAAGTGCTGGGATTAAGGGCGTGCACCATCATGTTCCGCTTTACAATTCATTTTTAAAAAAGAGTTTCTTTTCTTTTAATTATATATACATCTGTGTTGAGAGGTAGGGGTATGTACACATGAGTTCAGGTGTCCATGGAGGCCAGAAAAAGGTGTCAGATTCCCTGAAACTGAAGTTATAGGTGGTTGTAAACTGCTTGACATGGGTGCTGGAAGAGAACTTGGGTCCTCTACAAGAGTAGTACATGCTTTTAACCCCTGAGCCATCTCTGCAGCCCCTATAGTTCATTTCTATTTATTTAATAAAATGTGTCATTACCAAGATCTCTATAATATATCATATATTTTTTATAAAATACTACAAATGTATAATAATCAAGATTGCATTATATTGGTAGAAGTGATCCAAGGGATTGAAAAGGGCATAAACTTTGAGCCCTAGGGGTATAGCTCAGTGGTAGAGTGCTTACCTAACATGCAGAAGGCTTTGGTCTCCATCTCTAGCAACACACACACACACACACACACACACACACACATACACACACGTGCACACACACACATACACACAAATAAATAAACGAAATTTAAAAAGAGTGAGGATCACATTTCATATTATATTATTGGAACAGGGATTGTTAAATACTCTAAGATATTCCTCAGGCACTATGAGCACTTTTCTTTGAATACCACACTAAGTCATGAGTACTTTTAGAACCACAAAATGGAACAGGAAGAAATGATGCTCAGTAATACTGGAAACTGATACTTATTATGAAAGTACCTATCGCTGGTTGCTATCAGAGAAAGAATTTGACAAGTTAATTTGTCTTCACTCTGAGACACTGTCACTCAGTGATCCCATCCCCTCCCTTCCCCCACCTTTGAGGTAACATCCAACACCCCTCAGATGACCTTCATGCATCTGGACAGAGGCACCTTTTGTTCTTCAAGTTCAGGAAAAGGAGGAAGGTTTGTCAGGGGAGCAGATGTTGGAGTAAAGTCTGAGCAGGTGTGGCTGTGTCCCCAAAGCTTCCTTTTCACCATTAGCCTCTCTCAGGGCAGCCATTCCCCACTGCAGGGGTTAGGCCTGAAGAGCCACTTCCTGTTTGGAGACCAGCACTTCTCTCAAGTGACTCACTGGCTCTCACCGGCCCCATGCTGGAAAGCCAAGGAAGGGCTGGTGCCAGGCCTGGGTACAGCACCCTGGGCCTGGACCAGTGTCTCAGGCTGAAGGTCAGAGGTGGGAAATGGACTCTCTTGGTCCACTTCAGGTGTGAGACTGTTCTATCTTGGCTTGCCTGGTGGGCACAGGGTCCCATGAGACCAGAGCAGGAATAGGGATAGCCTCTGCATCCAGCCACCCCTCATCTGATTTTGCTGGTAGCCACTCGCCCAGGTGGGGCTAACAGGAGAGCTGAGACCCTTCAGGGTGGATCTGTGGCAGTTTCTCTTCCTCATAAGACAGAGAGGTGTGGCAGGGCCATGGGCTTAGATCTCCAATACCAACTTTCTGGTGACCGTGTGGGGTTCTTGCCCCTCTCTATCCCTCCATATTCAAGTGTGTCCAGTGTCACCTGCTGGCAGTGATTATTTTTGTATAGCTTGGTATTTTAGAGGTTGTCTCAAGAGATCAGGAGTTTGGGGGCTGGGGCTGGGCTGCGTTGGTAGAGTAATTGCCTAGCATGCCTAAAGCCCTGAGTTTGGTCCCTAGCACCACATAAGCCATGTGTGGTGGCTCATGCCTGACCCTCAGGCAGGAGGATCAGAGTGCAAGGTCATCTTGAGCTACATAGGGAGTTTGAGGTCAGCCTGGGTTATGTGAGACCCTGTCTCAAAACAGTAAAGTAAAATAAATGGAATAAAAACAAATTTAAGGACTAGGAAGATGGCTCAGTGCGTAAAGTGCTTGCGGGTGTGAAGACTGGCGTTTGGATCCCAGAACTCACATGAACTGGTGGGCACGGAGGTCTGCCTATAATTCCAGCACTCAGAAGGCAGTGACAGGGACCCCTGGAGCAAACAGGTCAGCCAGAGCAGCCATATTGGCAAGCTCTGGAGGACCTGCCTCAATGAATAAGGTGGAGGACAATCGAGGAAGACTCCTGATGTCAACTTCAGGCCTCCACATGCATATATACAGAAGTGCACATGCACCTGCACAAGCATATGCCCACACATATGAACACACAAACACATGGGAGAAAAAAATAGAAACCGTGCACAATAAATCTACACACTGAAAAAGAATTTTGTTTTTATCTTTTTGAGACAGGGTCTCCCTGTAGCCCCAGCTGGCCTGGAACTCACTATGTAGACTGGGCTAGCTTTGAATTCACAGAGATCTGCCTGCCTCTGCCTCCCAAGTGCTGGGATTAAAGGCGTGTGCCACCAAGCCTGGCATGAAAAAGAATTTTTAAAAGGAAAACCAAAAAGGTATCTGGGGTGGCTGATCCCTGTAATCCTGACACTCAAGAGACTGAGGCAGGAGGATTGCTTCAGGTTTCAAAACAGCGTGAGCTACAGAGTAAGACCCTGTCTCAGTGAAGAAAAGGAGAAAGTTGGGGGAAGATTTGGGGGTTGAATTTGAACGTTACCATCTTGCTGGTTATGCCCACTTCCTAGGGCTTCTGTTTTATTTTTTCAATTTTTTATTACATTTGGGAGAGAGAAACAGGCACATATGCACATACACAGGTGAAGGTCAGAGGACAGCTTATCCTTCTACTATGTGGGTCCTGGGAATCGAACTCAGGTCAGCAGTCTTTACCCACTGCAGCAGGCACCTTTACCCACTGAGCCATCCTACTGGCCCCGTAGGGCCTCTGTTTTAAATCTGATAATACTTCAGGTACTTTATACATGTTAACTAGTTACTGCCCACATCAAGGCTAGCAGGCAGGCTTTATTATTACTTTATCTAGAGGGAGATTAAGGAAGGTACTCAAGATTGTACCACACAAGCCAAGATTCTACCTTGGGTAGTTTACCCCAGAACCATGTTCTTGACGAGGTCCTTCTGTTCAGGTTGTGGTCCTTAGCCCTGTGCTACAAGCAGCACCTGGGAGCCTTGAGCATGTAGAACCTCAGGCCCCTACTGAGGTTGATTGCAGTTCACAAGCTCCCTAGGTAACTTGTGGCACTTTCAAGTCTGGGAAACCATGCTCTGTTTACATCCCTCTGTCTCTTGGGCCTTGTGGGAGATAAAGGAAAGAAATGTCTTTATTTGTTTCACTGTTTTGTGGTACTTGGGATTGGACCCAGGGCCTTGGCACATGCTTAGCAAGCGCTCTATCACTGGGCTGCACCCCTGGTCCTATTTATTTATTTTTATTTTATGTGTGTGAGTATTTTTCTTGCATGGATGTAAGTGCACCAGTATTATGCAGTGCCCATGAAGGGCAGAAGAGGGAGTCAGATCTCCTAGAACTGGAGTTACACAGGGTTGTTAGCAGCCGTGTGGGTGCTGGGAAGCAAACCCCAGTCTTCTGCAAGAGCAGCCAGAGCTCTTAACCTCTGAGTCATCTCTCCAGCCCAACCCAAAGTCCCCTTTTTACTTCTTAGATTTTTGAGACTCTCACTAAGTTGGCAGGCTGGCCTTAAATCACTCTGTGGCCAAGGAGGCTTTGAGCTTTTCATTCTCCTGCCTGAGCCTCCTGGCTGGCCAGGTGTATAGCCTGCATTAGTAGGCTCATCTCCAAAAGTGTGCACTGTAAACTGTAGAGTGCGGTAAATTCCTCGGATTGTGAGAAAGCTGCAGATGAGCTAAAGACGCAGGGCTGGAATGGAGGGATCTGCTGTCCTTGGAAGCTCTCCCTGAGCCTAGCTTTGCCTCCCATTCTGAAGCTGGCTTGACTGTGTGCTTCTTGCTGGCTCTAGGGTCTAAGTGGGTTGGAGAGAACTGTCACACTGACATGGGCTCAAGCCAGAGCCATTGCTGCTCTGGGTGACACAGGCAGCCAGACTTGGTGTCCCTGGGTAGCCAAGATGGCAACGCCTTTTTATGCTCCCAGTGCTGACCTGAGGCCCCCCTCCCTGTCCTCCTCCTGCATGTACTATCTCCCATTTCTATTCCCAGCTCCCAGGCAGGGTGCTGGCTCTGTTGGCTTCAGGAGCTGGGGAGAGGCGATGCATGAGTCAGAATGCAGGCACATAATTGCAGTGCCCCAGATCTGCCTCCAGCCCACTGGCCCTCCCCTCTGGCAGCTGCCTTGGAATAACAGCTGGTCTGGCGCCTCCTGGGGAAGCAGGTCCCTGGCAACAGGGAGGTCTCTGTCCTAGGATGGCTACACTTGGGTCCTGTTCCCATGGGTCCTGGCTAGGGGCATGGGTGTTCAAAGAGCAGGTTGTTTGAGTTTGGACTTGGCCTGCAGGGAGTACCTGTGGAAGTAAGACAGGGACATCCAGTCTCATGGTCTGGGATTAGATCAGCTTCCCAGCGTCCCTAGTTTCCCAGGGCCTGGGGTAGACTCATCACTGGGCCCCATTCCCAGCACAGGGTGGGCAGGTGGGTATGGCTCAACAAGGCAGGTATGATAGCAAGAAGCTGGGCGGAGAGGTGAAGGCTGGCACTGAGTTTGTTCCTCTGTCTCCTCTCTTCCAGGGAAGTCACATCAGCATCTCTGTGGACAGGACACACCTGGAGCCCAGCCACAGCCACAGGACCTACTTCCAGGTAAAGAAAGAGGAAAGCAAGGAAGGAGGGAGGGAGAAAGAAGTGGAGACAGACTGCAGAGTACAGCCCTCTGGCCTCTGAAACAATGTCCGCCTTTCCCATGGGGAAGCAAGCCACTGTTTATGAAAACAATCAAAAGGAATGGGGACTCTTGTCCCCCTTTATGGATAAGGAAAAGTGTAGCTCTGAGCAGAGTGGTCTCTTGTATTGGAAGGTGTGTGTTCCAGGCTCCTGTGTGTGGGTCTCATGTAGTAGTGCACTTAATCCTTGTAACATCCCATGAGGTTGGTGTCATTATCCCCATGTTATAAATAGTGACATCGAGAGGCTTGCCCAGTTAAGTAAGTGTGAAGGCTGGGTTTCCAACCGAAGCAGTGTGGGCTGTTCACAGCCTCTGAGAGTCACGGCCTCTCTACAGTCCAGTGTTAGCTGTTTCTTTAACCTCCACTTTGGCCTTTGATGGCTCCTAACTCCAGGGAAGATTCATTTGAAGAGAGAATCTATAGAACGAGATGTTTCAGTCAAAGGAGTGATGGCAGATGGTAGTTGGAGGTCTTGTGTCGTGGAATTGCCCTGAGTCCTCAGGGTAGGCCAGCCAACTCCTGGGACTTTCTACCTCAGCAGTCAAGCAAGGCTCTAATCAAATGTTCTCTAATCACCAAAAAGAAGCCTGAACCTTTGAAAGAGGTGAAGAAAAGCTTAGGTGCCAGGTTCTGAGACATGCCTGGACATAAGGAGACTGCTGCTCTTTGCAGAATGCTTTGGGGGAAAAGAAACAGTAATGACAGGGGGGAAGGTGGGATCCTACACACAGCCTGAGGTCATCCTCCCTAAAGTTGATGCAGAAGCATGCAAACTTGTATCAAAGCCTTAAGAAAAACTTCTAGAAGAAAAGCATCTAATTGAAGCAATTTTTTTAGCAACTTAATTTTTAAATTTTATTTATTTTTATTTTATGTGTATGTGTATTTTGCCTGTATGTATAAGTACATGTGTATGCAATGCCTACAGTGGTCAGAAGAGGGGGTCAGATACCCTGAACTGGAGTTATGGACAGTTGTTACCTGTCATGTGATGCTGGGAACTAAATCCGGGTCCTCTTCGAGAACAGCTAGTACTTTTAACCACTGAGTCATCTCTCCAGCCCCCAGCAACTTAATTTGTTAACAGATTGGCTAACAACTAATTATTATTCAAAGGCAGAATTCAGACCAGGCTCAGGAATACCTCTGTAGCTGTGGTTTATTTATTGAAAGACAGAGTCTTGTTCTGTAGCCCAGACTGGCCTCAAACTCTCCATCTTCCTGCCTCAGCTTCTGAGTGCTGAGATTATAGCTGTGTACCACATACCTGGCTAGTTGTACAGTTTAAAAAACTCTGATTAAGATTTCTTCTTTCCTTTAGCCAGTTTTTCTTACTGACAGATACATGGCTACCCCTTTGGTGCCTGACCCAGTGCAGGGCACACAGGTCCCCCTGCAGTGACTCCTTAGCAGGAAGGAGGTCTGTGGTATCTGTATTCCTATCACTGGGCACAGGGTGGCAGATGCTATGGTGCTTCCAGGCAAGGCTGGCCACATGGGTCAAGAGTCCCCATAGAAGCAAATGTTGGCCAAGTGCCAAGGCCAGTGACTGCTCTCAAGAGCTCTGCCAGCTGATATAGGCTCAGAAAGATGAGGCAGTTACTTCTGGGGGGCTGACCCCACAGCTTGCACAGGTCCATTTGTCAAGGTGGATGGATGCTATGGGATGGACCAAGGCACAGAAGTGGGAAAGCTGTCAGCTAGCATGGCATCTTTGGAACACAAAAAGGAGGGGAAGGTGAAGCTAGAGAGGTAGGCATGGGGGAAGGAAACAAAAGAGAGGATTCCTTAGGCTTGCTTCTCTTTCCCTCCTGGGCCCGATTAAAGAACCTGTTTGTATAACTGCTCTGCTAGTTTACGTAAGTAAATAAAATAAGTCATTGCTCCCCAATCCTTCAGGGAACAAAAACTGGGCAAAGATGGGTTTGCCTGGTGCAAGTCTCTGCCAGACCTAATGTCATCCTTGTCATCCACGCCATCCTCGTCCTTGACGTCCTCGTCGTCCTCCTCTTCCCCCTCTTTCACCTCATGCCTGTGCCCCACTTTCTCTGGGGCCCAGAGGGAGACATCAGAGACAAACAGCTAAATCTAATGACTGAATCACTGGGCTGCTAGGCGAGGACCTGGGCATGCATCTTCCTGAGAATGGGTGCGAAGGCATTGAGTCTGCCCCTCACCGGGCCACAATTAAAGGCCTTGGGAGTACTCGGGAGGTTCTGCTTGTTCTAGGGAGATCCTGGCAGTACCCATGGGAGAGGGGAGGGGTGACTGAAGCAGAAAGTCCTCCCAGGAGGACTTCCTGCTGTCTTGATGACTTGCAGGGGCTACTCAGGTTTCCGGAGAGGTAGGGCCTTTGCCAGAGCTAGTCTGGAACTGAGCATGGGTATTAGTTGCTGTTTACAGCTGTCTGCATGGGAGGGAAGGCCTAAGGATTTCCTTGGTTCTGATATTTTGCGACTTCCTAGTCCTGAAATCCCAGATAGCTTGCTCTAGGGTCCTATGATTGTGTGCATCTTAAGTGAGGTTGTTTTTCAAAATATTTATTCATTCACATATTTTGAGACAGGGTCTTGATGTGTAATCCAGGCTGGCCATGGACTGGTTTTAAAACTGGTTTGGGGCATATGAGGCCTGAAGTTGGGGCTCTGTGAAGCAAAGCTCTGCTCTTGACAGAGGTAGTCATTGTTTTTTGTTGTTATTGTTTTGGGGTTTTATTTTTTTGTTTTTGTTTTTGTGTTTTGAGACAGGGTCTCACTGTGTAGCCCTAGCTAGCCTGGAACTCACTATGTAGAAAAGGGTTCCCTCAGAGATCCACCTGCCTCTGCCTCCCAAGTGCTAGGATTAAAACTGGCCACCCTTGGTGACTGTTCAGTACTACACTTGTAGCTCTGACCTAGAAAGAGAGGACCCTGCTGTCCTTGGGTCCCAAGAGAACTTGAGGTTTCTAGAAAGGTGCTTGAGCCTGCTTCCTGTCCAACCCATGGCCTTGAATGCATCCCAAACATGTAAGTCTGTCTCCCAATACTCCTGCACATATTTGTGATAGAGAGCTCAAAGCCTGAGTGTGGAACAGGCTGAGACCCCAGGAGGAAGCCCTTCCCAAAGAGAGGCGCAGGAGACTGCCCAGAGTGAGCCTTGGGAGGTGGGGAAGCTGGAGAGCCCACACACCTGTGGAAAGACCTGGTCTTCCTTGGCCTCTAGCTCTCTCCCAGAGGAAGAGCCAACAGTCTCCAGGGACAGAAGTGATGGGTAAACAAGAGGGCCTGGCATTACCATTCAAGAAGATTCATAATGACCCTAATTATGGCATGATTAATTCTTTGAGGGCTGGCTGTCAGCCCTCCCCAACTGAATAACTTTTCCCCAAACAGTGAACAGGTGTAGCCTGGCCTTTTCACCTGGGAGGCCTCCCACCTGCCTTCTCCTTGCTGTTGAGCCACCTGGGGATTTTGATTTCCTTCCCTAGGTCTGGCTATCTTCACTGTTGATTCATTGGAACCTAGGGCTTTCTCTGAGACCCAGAGAGGTAGAGTCACTCACTCAAGATTACAGTATGATGGTGACAGCCTATGGCTCTCAATTCAATTCATCTGATGAAGCCAGGCCATGGAAACATAGGGAGTCTGTGAGGGACCCCACAGAGCAGAAGGCTGAGAGCCTCAAGGCAGGGAGGGATTGCTTGGCTTCTCTGGGCAGGCTTTCCACAAGTTCTGAAGAGTGGAAAGTCTTGGAGTCAGACAATCTTCCACTTCCAGGCCTTGTCCTGTGACCAGAGCTTTATTTTATTTTATTTTATTTTTAAATATTTTATTTGTTATTTGTTATTTTATATGTATGAATGTATTACTTGCATGTATGTAAGGACACCCATGTCGTGCTATGCCCGTGGAGGTAAGAAGAGGGCATCAGATCCCCTGGAACTGGAGTTACGAATGGTTGTTAGGCACCATGTGGGTACTAGGAATTGAACCCAGGTCCTCTGCAAGAGCAGCCACTGCTCTTAACCACTGAGCCATCTCTCCAGCTCCCAGAGCTTTGATTTAGAGGGCTAAGTTTGGTGCTTTTATTTTGGTTGGTGAGCTGTTGTATAAAAGCTCCTGTTTGCAGGAAGCCCCATCATGGCCACTGCTTGGAACCCATTTGGAGCTTCATGTGCTGGCCATGGTCAGAGCCTTGGATGCTTCTTTTCAAGTGGAAGTCCTGATCCCTTCTGATGGCCTCCCAGAATGCTCAGCATACTCCTCTACCCAGTAGACCCATCCTTCTCTCCTCCAGGCCCCAAATCCTGCCTTAGTTCTGAACTGTAGTTCCCACCTCTCTAGGGAGCCTCCACATAGCGCTCGACACTGTAATGCTGGAAAGCAAATTCTAGAATCTAGAGGAGACACTGACTTATCAAGGAGGCTTCTTGGAAAGGTGGCACTTCTAGCTCAGGTGAAGGAAAGCCAAGCCTTGAGGATGGGCATTCCTCTCTGACTCTCCAGGGCTCTCACTGAGGACAGGGGCCAGAAGAAGCATGAGGAAGAACCACAGAGGGCCCAGGAATGTTTCGTGGCCAGTTTCCCCCAATGGCTGGGTTCAAGCATCCCTTTTGGAGGAAGTCAACATGGTCCCATGCCTTTACACCTGGTGTTCTCTATGTGAAATGGTCATTTTGTGAGTGATCCAGGCCCTGCTGTTCCCATTCCTTAGGCACTATCAAAGCTGATAGGACCCTGGGACAAAGACAGTGCCCGTATAGGGCTTAGGTTGGTCAAGAGTGGAACCGTGTATATTATGATCCTCCTTATATGTCTTACCTAATGTTGAACAAAACCTAGGAGGTGAACACAGTCAGGATATCCCATTGATAGCCCAAGGAACAGAGGGACTCTTCTACCATCAGAGCAGGAGGGTTTGTGGGCTATGTCCTTTGGG